TCTATCCCTGCCATTACAATTCTTTGTTCCGATTATTCAGTGTAATATGAGCGAATTCGAGTCCAGCCAGCAACCAGGGGGGAGGGGGGGTGGGGCTTTGGAATTCACAAACACCGCCTTATGAACCGAAATCTTAGCAGTTCACCCAATCGCCGCATTTTTCTCCCAGGGCTCGATTACTCGCGTGTTGCACAACTTTCTTATTATCGGCTTGGGAAGGGGATGAAACGTGTTATAAGTCATGTCGTTCTGTCCATCACAGGCAAAGTTTACCATCACATAACTGCGTGAAACTGTAAATATACCCAAAAAAAAGTCTCTGAAATACATCTTGGCGTTTTCCAAAATATTTTAAACTAAAGGATTAAATACTTTCATTCTACCTTGCATAACAATCAAATGCAATACAAGATCTAATCGCTCCGGATGGAAAAAATACGTGCCGTGTCCACTGTCATTTTAGTTCATTAATTGTGTTTATTCGGCCGGAGATGCCCCACAAATACTATATCATTAAGGAGTCAATTATTAGCCCTACCTATCTCACCTTTTTACCCTTTTCCTTGATTATCGTTTTTAAACATTTTTGTTATTAGTTCGACAATAACATCATAATAACCTTAACGCCAATAATAATAACAACAGCACTATTAACGGGCCTACTAATTCACACTTTGGTGGTTGAGCATTTGTGGAGCCGTCTGTCTGCAACAAATTAAACACACACACACACACACACACACACACACACACACACACACACACACACACACACACACACACACACACACACACACACACACATATATATATAGAGAGAGAGAGAGCTAAGACAAAAATATCAAAAGACAAACTTTGAGTCTCTTATCACTCCCATAAAATTAATAATAAAAAAATAAATAAATAAGCACAAACTTATAAACATCCTGACGATAATCATAATGAATTAAGGAAAAGGTTTTCGTTTAAACTAAACACTTGCATTGCCCAGACAGCACTTCGCTGCGACATCTGGCTTTTGACAGCCTGCCCCGCCCTCTCCTGACCCGGGAGTCCCAGGTCAGAGGTCAGTGCTAATGATTTTCGAGCTAAATGAGATTAATTTCGGGAAGAGTTAATGAGGTGTTTATTGTGATTACTTTTCGTCGAAGAACTGAGAACTGAAAGGGTAGGTCTCCACTAGCAGTAATGACAATAACAAAAATGCCGGTGATAGTGTGGCAATTATAATAAAGCGAATAATAATAATAATAATAATAATAATAATAATAATAATAATAATAATAATAATAATAATAATAATAATAATAATAATAATAATAATAATAACAACAACAACAACAACAACAACAATAATAATAATAATAATAATAATAATAATAATAACAATAACAATAATAATAATAATAATAATAATAATAATAATAATAACAATAATAATAATAATAACAATAACAATAATAATAACAATAATAACAACAACAATAATAATAATAATAATAATAATAATAATAATAATAACAATGATAATAATAACAATGATAATAATAATAACGACAATGGTAATTATAATGATGGTGATGATGATGATGTGATAATGGTAATGATGGTAATGCTATAAATAAAATTATGATAATAACAACAATGCTAATACTAACAATGATAATAGTACTAATTACAAATTAACAACAATAATAATGATTGTGATAATGATGATACTACTACTACTACTACTACTACTACTACTACTACTACTACTACTACTACTACTACTACTACTACTACTACTACTACTACTACTACTACTAAAAATAATGATAATAATACTAACAACAACAAAAACAACAACAACAATAATACAAATACTATTACTACTACTACTACTACTACTACTACTACTACTACTACCAATCATGATAATAATAATAATAATAATAATAATAATAATAATAATAATAATAATAATAATAATAATAATAATAATAATAATAATAATAATAATAGTAGCAGTAGTAGTAGTATTAATAATAATAAATGTTACTAATAACAAAATAATAATGAAAATAATAATAATAATAATAATAACAATAATAATGATAATAATAATAATAATAATAATAATAATAATAATAATAATAATAATAATAATAATAATAATAATAATAATAATAATAATAATAATAGCAGCAGTAGTAGTCGTAGTAGTAGTAACAATAACAACAAAACAACAGTAATAATGATAAAAATAACAATAATAAAAGCAGTAAGACCAAAATGAAAATACTAACAATAATAACAACAAGAAAAAGAACTGCTAAAGCGACAAAAACAATCACAAACCAATGCTAGCAGCACCGATCCCTATCCGCATAAACATCAAATCGCTCACGAAAACCGTTACGAGAAATCGCCCATCCGCGGCCAGCCTAATGGCCAAAAGCGCACAATCACCAATTATTCCTCTCGACATTAAGACCGATTATAAAAAGAAAAAAAAAGAGACAAAAAAGCGTGAAAAAAGTTCGTTAAGGTTTAGTTCATTATGGGCAGAACACGCGATACTGGCCCTTGTGTGTCTGCGAGGCCGCGGCGGGACAGGAACTACACCTGTCCAGAGAGGATAACAGGTGATCCAGGGTGGGAAGCAGGGGGAGAGGGGGGAGGGGGGAG